AACAAAATCTACGCGCATTCCCTTCCGAACAACCTAGAAGAATAAGAGGTTGCTGCACTTGTACCTCCTTTGTAGGTGGAGCTCCCATGAGCTCATATGTGCTCTGCTGCTCTAACCTCAACTCCACCCATGCCCAGTTAAACCAATTTCGCGACACAGATATAAAACATTAATACATACACGCAAACAGACATACCAACCTTTATATATGGTCAGGATTGCTCACTAATAGATTACGATCAAAAAACGGGCATTTCACATAATATTTAACACTGCTCTGCCGTACAGGTTTGTTGTGGCTGTACCGCTTTATTTGGTCATTGTTTCGGCTGAATCGTCGTCTTCAGGACCTGAAAATAGTCTGGAGCTCCTGTTCTGTGATTAACCGACCAAACGCCCAAACGCCAAAGGCTAGTTGCAACGTCCCGGGAACTCAAACTTGGAAAGGTTCTCAGCAAAGTGACCAAGCTTCTATGGTCCCACCAGCGTNACGTCTCACTCTATGTGGACAACAAGGGACCAATGAGACATCATTGATGATCGTAAAATAATAATCATGCGGGTGATATCAATGTCCACGGGAGGGAATGAATGGCAAGAGTTCACTTATTATGGCCAAAAACTCACTTCGGATTTTTGAATATTTTCGAATATCGAATATTTTTTTCGAATATTTGAATAGACTTGGATTTTTCGTGCGGATATGTAGCGCTTTGAGCATCGTCTGGCACCAAGCTAGGATTTTACATTCGATGTCGAAGTCTTTGTCCTGATGTCCTTCTAGTCAGTATCTCCCAAGTAAAGTTAGTAGCGTTCGGCGACTTTTTCCTGCCAGATTTTCTTTGACGCGTACGCCGAGCATCCTTCCCTTCTCACCAATGTATATTTCGTTACGGTCTGAGCACTGAAGTTGATAAACCGTCCCTCGCTGTATGCAATCCCCGTCTTTTGCTAACGGACAAATGACGCAGTTATCCGTCGAACATGCCCGGTCGTAAAACCTACTGCGGATTAAATGACGTTTGTTATTGTCTCCCGATAGGTTTAGCAAGACAACAGCATTGGTCAAATCCGCACGTGGTTTGCATTGTGGGATTTCCGTGTTAATTTTGTCTGATATAGAAAGTAGCCGGAGATGCACCCTTTTTCAGGATTTCTTGAAAGATGCCTTCCCGAGCTTAATCTTCCGTGTTGTGTCCCGTAACCACTCAACATTGCAACATCAGATGCTATGATGCTGTGATTCCTCTCGCTATACGTCGTCTGTACAAACTCCTGTCGCTGTTTTGTACACATTACAATTAACTACACATTTTACACTCCAGGATGGGTTGGCATTGCGTGGAGTAAGATATGTTGTTGATGTCATTACGCAGCAGTCATCGATATACCTGCAGTACAGGGTGAGCGTGCGCGATACAACTGATCTTTTCATTCTTCTAGTAAAACAGATAGCTAGAACCGGTGCTAGCCTCTGACCCATTAGCAAGTCCTCGGTTTTGGAAGAAGTATAGCTCGCTGCACTTGAAAATATTACGCAAGGCAATATTAGGCATTCCTTAATAAGAGCCATCATGTGAACCTTGCTTGATCCGAACATCACCATTTCTGCTTCATGCTCATCCTGCAGTTATTCACGTTCGTATAAAGCGCGGTTACATCAAGCGATTCTGTTACGCAGTTTTCGTGAAGCCTGCACGAACGCAAGCGGTCAGGAAACTCCTTGGTGTTAGGCAAATGAGAAGGTACGTATCGGAAGAGCTGAGCAACGATTTTATTGAGGAAAAAAAAGGAGATGCAGTACGTTGGTCCCTAATGATGGGTCTTATTTTGTAATCACTGGCATTAACTGAGCTCTCACCTCCGTTGGACAACTTATGAGTTTTGATCAGACTATAGAAAACCGGACACAAGGGAGCATCCAATTACAGTGTTTCTTTTAATCAGTGTTTTATTCAATTTTGCTATCTTTCCTATAGACACCCTTAACGCATTCAGCCTATGAGATTGTGTGCCTTTTCACTAGAGCCACTGTAAACAGAAGTATCTCTGAGGAGGAGCTCCGTGATCTCCCGATCTAGGGCATGCGGTAGGACCACGAGCTCTCCTCCCTCCTCGCTTACGGAAAGACTGGTTCCGCCGTCTGCTACGCGTCTTAATGTCTCTCGCAACCCTTCCCATTGTGCGCTCGTAACATTCGAGCACCCCTCACGCACTTGTTTTTTGAAAACTTCAAGAACTCCTGATGAGAGTGCTCGAAATCCAACGAACTGTACTGGAGAAGGTTCTGGTTTGCTATAAAGTGATGATAAAGTCCTGTCACCGCTGATAAAGTCCTGTCACCACCTGGCGATACATGGAAGGTCTAAGTTGAAGAAGTGGAAGTGGGACGTAACACGTAAAGTGGGACGTACGCTGGTGGAATCGCAGGAGCTTGGTCACTTTGCTGGGAACTTTTACAAGTTTTAGTCTCCGGGAGTAGCTTAGCATGTTTGGGCGCTTGGTTGGGTAGGTCACAGGTTGGAGGTCCGAACTATTTTCTGGTTCTGAGATGACGATTCAATCGAAACGTTGACCAATAAGGCGACTCAACCACAACAAACCTGTTCGACAGAGCAGTATTAAACATTAGATTTCGATTATTTCAACTACGTATGTATTGGGTTGTAACATAAGTTCGTAGAGTTTTTTCACAAAGATTTATTTGAACCAAAAAACAATAAATATAATAATAAATTAACCAATGATGTATCCTCCGTTACTGTTCACGACCTCCTCCCATCTCTCGACCAATTTGTTGATGGCGATTCGCCGAAAATCGGCCGTTGTGGTGTCGAAGAATTTGTTGAGCCAGTTTTTAAGGTCCCTTTCGCCATCGAAAGTAACACCCCTCATTGGGTCTAACATAGAGTGGAAAAGGTGATAGTCGGCAGGTGCAAGATCCGGCAGATGCGGTGGATGCTGAAGAACCTCCCATTCAAGCTCTTGGAGTGCTGTTTTGACGACTTGAGCAATATGGGGCCTGGTGTTGTCGTGGAGCAAGATGACTTGACCACCTCTATAAGGTCTTTTAA